CCCAGTACGTTCATAAACTCATCAAACAGTGTCTACAGACCAAAAATGAAGGACTTTTATTTTTTGACTGTGGCCGCCCCGTGCTCGATATTTCTGGACAGTCGCTCTTAAGTACATTTTAAGAACATTTTGAGGCTGATTTGCCACTAAGCACCCGATGAATAAGAACACAATCAGCCTGACCTCTGAAATCGTGTGTTCTTATATGCGGGTGACCCCACACCGAAACTAACTAGTTTCAACGCTTGGATTATGCACAAGCCCATTGTTATTCTAATACACTAGACTCACTGATACAGAACTCACTTCCAAAGTAAGGTCACCCTTGATTCCAGCATATCCGTTCCTGCTGGCTGAAATTTTTCCATCACTTAATTAGTAAATTGTCTTGGAAGAAGGTAAGAGTCGTATGCAATAGAGTGAATTCATTAAATTATAGATTTTGTTTAGTAGACAAGAATTCCATTGTTGTCTTTTACATGTCCGATTAGACGTTGACTAGCACGTTTTTTTCACTCTATAATGAGCCTGCAGGTGTTCAAATTACTAGGATATTAGGGTCTATTCTATAACTATTATACACTATAAATATTAAAATATCTGGTCGCGAGGGAAATAGTTAGTTTTGCCGGTTTTCCCGAGAGTCTCGATGTTTCACGAGGCGAAGCCGAGCATCGAGACTCGAGGGAAAACAAAACTAACTAATTTCCCGATGGACCAGACATCGTTTGGGGTTTTGCTATATAGCAATTGAGAAATAATTGAGAAGTCAGTTTACGAAATAATTTTTCCCCCCCTTTTTTTAGCGAGCTAAATGCATGAAAACTGACCATCATTTTATATATGAGTCAATTCCAAAGATTCCTATCCCCGTTCCCCTTCGGGCATACCCAGGGCATTTGACCCGTCGTCAGAAATTTTATTGCGTGATATTTCCCGAACCGACTCCCGTACGAATAACAACCGCGAATAATTCGTATGGGAGTTTTTTAAATGTTGGTAAATATTCGCTGAGCCGCGACTCCCGTATGATTGTTATTCGTACGGGAGTCATCAGAAATTCTATTGCGTGATATTTCCCGAACAGACTCCCGTACGAATAACAACCGAGAATAAATCGTACGGGAGTGAAAAATGTTGGTAAATATTCGCTGAACCGACTCCCGTATGAATAACAATCGCGAAAAATTCGTACGGGAGTGAAAAATGTTGGTAAATATTCGCTGAACAACTCCCGTACGAATAACAATCGCGAATAATTCGTACGGTAGTGAAAAATGTTGGTAAATACTAACGAGCGGGAAATAAGTAACTTATTTCCTGGTCGGGATACATTTAGATTTAACTAGTGTCACGTGGTCATCTTTCAACCAATGAGAGTGTTCGTTATATCGAAAAATTTAATTTTGAAGGAATTTTTGCAAAGGCGCGCGTGGTGTTTTTCGTGGTCACGTGACTTCTGGTTTTGATATTTCCCGGTTAACAATGCATTATTTCCCTCTCAGACAACTCGCTAGGAAATAGTCGGATTTCTTCGCGTTCACGTGATACACTCTCGACGAATAGAAATTGAGGAAAATTGAGCTTTGATACTTGGTATATATTACATACACTTTAGTAGACCCTAATTCCATTGTTTTCTTCTGTCTCTATTTGACTATTACACGTTGACTAGTATTTTTTAGTTTCACGGTTTAAAGTTACGAGTGCGTTCGATTGCACATTCGATAACCTTCGAACGTGCCTCGTAGAGGCGAAGTCACTATGTCATCGAGTTATGTAAGTGAGTAAGTCTGTAACACCATAGGAAGTCCAAAATGTCTTAATTCTTACACTTCGGAAATGAAGTTGTTGTTCTCCTATCGAATTATTGCTTTTTCAAATAATATCTTACAACACACACAAACACATAAAACAAAATATACATTTCCCATAAGCAATGTTAATTTAAGCCCTAAAAGTCATAAAATCAATATCAATATTTCGTTCTATATACACCTACTTGCAAGAACGTTGTCATACGAAAATAGAACGTTAGTAATTTAGTGAGAAAGGAATACATTAAAAGACAAAAGAAAAAGTTCAGCTTCAGTGATCTTCTTTCGTTTTTTAATATAATTCCTATCCCACTAAATCACTATTGTTCTATTTTCGTATGACAACGTTCTTGCAAGTAGGTGTGTATATAAGCCTTTACTTGCAACATTTAATTTTTTTTTAGCAAAACCGCTAATTCAATTACCAATACATATCCTTTATATATCTCAATAGTCAGCTAACACCTTACTCCATTTCCTTCCTATGTAAAATAATTTCTTATGGCAGTAGCCACATGCGCTTATTGAGCACCTATTTTTTACAATACTAGGATGTATACAGCCAAGAACGCCGTGGTAGAATCTCCATACCATTTCCTCACCACCAACCTTATTCCAGGAACCGAACGCCGACTTGTACACGGTAAAGGAGCGGTGGTAACCGACGACAGAGGCAAACCGTATATAGATCTAAGCTCCTCTACACTTAACATGTCTTTTGGGCACCAAGATCCTCACATCACTGGAGCAGTCAAGGAGCAGATGGACAAGGTTTGGTTTGTCGCATCGGCGTTTAATAATCCCGCATTCATTGAGCTTTCTCGACTACTGGTTGAGGTTGCCCCCGAAGGCATCTCATCTGTTAATGTTCGTTCATGCAACGGCAGTGATGCTGTGGAGAATGCAATCAAAATTGCTCGCAGCCACACACGACGTAAGAAGTTATTGTGCGCAAGACATGCCTGGCATGGCGAATCAATTTCTACGTTGGGGTTGTCATCTATGCATGCTTACTATCGGGTAGGGTACCTCCCAGACGTTTTCCATGCAGAGGAAGAATCCCTCGAATCGTTGATAGAACTCATCAAGATGCATCCCGATGCCGCAGCAGTGGTTCTCGATCCTCTTGGTGTTGCATCTGGCATGTACGACCCAACAACCTTAAAACAAAACCTCTACGACATTCGAGAGTTGTGCAGTAAGTCTGGCATTGTCATGGTCTTCGATGAGATCCAGACCTTCGGTGGTTACATGGGGGATAGTTTGTTTGCTAGTGGTCGCTATGGTGTGACCCCAGATATAATTTGCATCGGAAAAGCCCTCGGTGCAGGGATACCAATCAGTGCCATCTTGTGCCAAGGGTTCCTAAGAGGAGTTTTGCTAGCCAAAGAAGGCGAGCTTACTTATGGTGGGCAGCCTCTTGGCTGTGTTGCTGCTGCTGCAGTCATTAACGCATTTAAGGCAAAACGAAAACACGTGTCCACGAACCTTGCTCACTTTGAAGAAGCTGCGCGGAAGCTTCGAAGCGACTTTCAGAACTCAGACCTTCGAATCCGTCAAAATGGATTCTTTTTGACAGTAACACGCAAAGATGGCAAGTTTGCAGGAAACTGGATGAAAGTGGTCAGTAAGAAGTGTCTGGAGCAAGGTCTCCTTGTTCGTAAGAACCAAGGCAAATCCATTCTCATCAAACCCCCTGTGATCATCCCCTCTGATGTCATCGACGAATGTTTTGACAAGTTTGCAGCAATTCTTAAAGAGGTAGAAATAGAGTTTCAGAAGCCGAGCATCCTGTACAGTGAATTGACCGAGAATGGCGAGAAACCTTCCCTCACAACACGGATTAGAAATACCCCTCCCGACAACAAGTGTAAATACATCGAGGCTCTCCTTGCCGAAGTCAATCATTCCCTTTCTGTAAGGAAGGCTGACGCTGGAGAACAAGAGGTGAATGTCAAGCTACTTCGCCGAGCGGGGATCCCAGCTGCCGAGGTGTACAAGTCAACAGACGGGTCCCTCGAGTATATCTACCAACCTGGTGTCCCTATGGACAAATTCATGGCAAGTAATCCTAACGACCTGCCGGTGATTAACGGTCTCGTTTTGTTGCACCAGCGGTACGTCGAAATGGCTCATGACGCAGGACTCAGTGTCCCAGATCGTTGCCCTGGCAATGCTATTGTCAGCGGTGTTTCCATAGCTGCTCTGATGGACTTTGATCTGGTTTATAAAACTAGTGACGATGATCAAGATCTATTGTTTGCCTTCGAGGAGGTTTTCTCTACCTTCCAGTGCGTTGCATGGATCAAGGATGCTTCTCTTCAACAGGATCTTTCAAACCGACTGTGCTTTGCTGTTATGGACAGGTACGGTGCGCTGGTGCCTCACATTTGGTCTGGAATGACCAAATACTACAGCAGTCCGTCGAGGCAGGAGTCTTTGACGCGTCACGATTGTATGCGAGCGATTGAAGCAATGTCCAGGTCCTTCAGTAACCTACAGTGTGGAATAAAGAATGGTAGATGAACACGAACAATTTGAACAATCTTACAGACCACCTAGACAGTAATACATAATATTTTTTCCTAATAATACTAGGGTGTAGGAAGCTTCTTCATTAACTCTTTGGGTTGTATTCCTGCACTCTACCACCATAATAATTTACCCTTATGTTTTTTCATGTATTATTTTATATTGTTGTAAGTGGAAATAAAAAACCTTGAACCTTGAAGTAGATATGAAGTACCAATTCTACGCCATGTGGATCGTGGATCAACCCCCCACCCCCATCAGGGTTTTTACAGAGGTGACGTAACGGCTATTCTAAGTGAGGTTCCAGTGAGGTAGGGGGAGGGGTGATCTACATCCAACCATCATGGGAAGACCGGCCGACCGCCCGAGTAGAAGTTCTGATCGAAATCGGGGCCTGGAAAGGTTTGGGGAAGGTGTTTTAAAACACAAATCAAAATCCTTTGTTTAAAAAACGAAGTTTTTGAATTAATGAGCTGACTTCCTTTGTTGGAATGACATGTTTAATTAGCAGACTTAAAT